ACTATCTTCTCTATGTGATCACCTTTTTATAACCCTAAAGATAATTTAGGGAAAGCAGTAACATTCTAGTCTCCCATATAATTTTCCTAATCCTCCTGTCTACTGGCATTTAGCTCACAGTAATGACAATGTTTTTTTAGAGAAGGGGGGAAACATGAGTTTTAAAATTTAAACTGTAAGATAAAATGCTTATCCCGCTCGGCTCTGGGAACTGTTTCTATGCTTGTCAGGACTATTGTCTGCACAGACAAAAAGTAGACCCATTTTAGCGGTTGGCACAGTTTCCGTCAGGGCGCTCATGGGATCTGAGCGAAGCCGCCGAGCATGGGGGTTAAGAGAGCAGTGTCTCAAGTTACATTCTCCTCCGCTTACTGCCTGCGTGAGTGAGGCTCGTTCCCGGACTCCTCTGAGGTTACGATTCCTAAATTAGGATGAAGAGCGCTATCAGTCTCTCAAAGAGTGGCTGAGAGGTTAAAACGGAAGCGTGCGCAGAAAGAGCACACACTCAGTGCTCCATAAATGCTCACTGTGACAATAGATATTTGGACACAACATCCCCAATTCTATAGCCTAAAGACAGGATACAATCATTTTTAACTCCGCTAGCCAAAAGGCAGCCACCAGAGCAGGAAAGGGAAAAGTTCACCAAAGGAGCTACTCCCCGGTCACTCTAGAAGAAAATGCATGTGTGAAAGGCCGGCTGCATTTGGGCGTAGGCCACAGCAGGCTGTGTGCCTGGTTGTCTGCCCTAAATACCGTGTCCTAGAAGACACACTTTGCACCCTTTCCGGCCCGTGTAGCACATGTAACTGTGCCTTGCATCGAGCGGCCTTCAACAAACATGTATTACACTGGCCGGGTTCGCATGGATTTAATTCCTGTCCCCAGGGCTGCTCTTTTCCAAGAAAGAAAACCAAAAAGCAGCAAGAATAAGCTAAACAGGAGAAATGATATGAAATAACTCACAATGCTTCAGAAAACTCTCCCTGTAAGGCCCAAATCTTGTTCGTCTATGTTATCTAGAACTGCACAACTTGTTCCCCTCATATTCTGGCAAGAGACACTCTTCATGTCTTCTCACAGTGGGAGCAGTCGGTGGGGGGGTTGGTGAGTCAACGGACGGTGCTGTTTGGCTCCACTACTTGTTTGGCTGTGTCCTCCCTGGGCACCCCAGACATGGGCAGGGGTGGGTTCCAGATCAGGAGGATTGGGACTGGGTCGGAAGGAAGCACACTGCACAGCCTGGTCAGTACCAGGAAAAGGCCTGAAGGTTTATCTCCAGAACCCAATCCACGTTGGATCATTTTCAGTGGGTATGACCCTGCCTTGTTCCGCTTTCCGGTCTGTGTAGGTGCTTTTCTGTCAGGCATGGGTGGATGTTTAATCAGTAAGATGATCTGATATGCCCATTGCTATTACAAGCTCAGGAAGTAAATTTAGCAATGAACATGATTTTTCCAGACATAGAAATTGGGCCATAAAATTTGCCTGGATGGAAAGAAAGCTCAGAACTCTTGACTTATACTGATATCTCTGACTTCCACGGGTACCTGTGCTGAATACAATTTTGACATTCACCCTGATGGCGCAGGTTCCAGTGGCTGAAATGGCTCCCAGGGCTACACTTCAGAAACAAGCTTTGGATGGGTTTCCTTGCACACAGGCAAGATGACTACCACTGGCCTTCTCTGTGGTGCAGACTAGTTCTACGTTAGCGGTTGTACAGAGACTCAAGTTAACCTAGTTTATGTTATTAGAACGACAGTCTTTAATGAATCACTCAGAAAACAATTGTTTAGGGGCACCTGGGTGGCTCAGTCGGTGCAGCATCTGCCTTCGGCTCAGGTCATGACCCCAGGGTCCTGAGATCAAGCCCCGCATCAGGCCCCTTGCTTGGCAGGGAGCCTGCTTCTCTCTCTTCCTCTGCAGCTCCCCCTGCTTATGCTCTCTCTCTCTCAAATAAATGAAATCCTTTTTAAATTATTAAAAAAAAAAAAACACTGTAAACAAAACAATTGTTTACCCAGCAGCCAAGATCCTAGAAACACAATGACAAGCAATGCAGGCGGCACTCATTTCAAGGAACTTCCTATCGAGAAGGTCTTTTTAATTAGAATAGGACAACAATTTCAGGGGTAGTTTTATATAGTTCCAACTTAGCCTATGTTGGAACTATGTTGCTCGGGATCTCCACCCCGGTCCTGTTGGCTACAAGAGCACTCTTCATGCGTTCTGGAAGGCACGACGAAAACACAGGCTGACCGCTGTGCTGGGCGTCTGTGCTGGGGCAGCTTGCCTACGTCGTCACCGACCAGCCGGGGCCACGTGCTGGCACAAGGCATCTCCGGTGCATCTTCAGGACTTGCAGTATCTCCCTCAGTTTCTCCCACCCTTGAGCCACGTGCCTGCAAGCTCTAAGCTGAAGCCCGCAGCAGTTTTTATCCTCCCCCAGCAGCAGACCCTGCCGGCGGACAGTGACTTCACGATCACACAGAACCCAGGGGGACAGCCTGACACAAACTTCTGCAGCAGCTCACACAATCATGGAAGGTCTAATTACTATAATAAATATCTTATCTTGGATTTCCCTCGGTGGTTCTGGTACCCTGATTGAACCTGGAACCATCAATTACCTACAATTTAGAAGCAAAGGGCTTTGAGGACAGTACAGAGTTTATAAGCCTTTCAATGAAGAAAGGGTTTTTAATTCATATTCATATAAGTGATACCGGTGTTTGCCAATCCAAGCAATGGACCGACGTGCCAGCTCTCACCTGAGCACACAGGTCCCCTTCGGCAGCCAGCTCTCAAAACACTAACCCAAACCTTCTCTGCTGTTTCCCCATCAAGCCCATTTCTCTTGCCTCAGCTGTGACTTAGGGGAGGCACAATGTATAGGCAGTAGCATCCGATTCAAAGGAAGCAAGAAATCTGAATTTAGAACCGCCAGGCACAGCGACGTGCTCACAGTCAGTTCCAGCGATGGTTACAAAGACCCAATATTCATAAGAAACTTTTCAACTTGTTGTAGTAGATATTAATAGGAAGACATCCTCTTTCACGAGTTTATATATGACCCTGATTATTTACAACTCAGGGTCTGTGTTTAATTCCTTCCAGGCCAAGAGACACCTGAAAGGGATTTTTTTCCCCCAGCAAACCTGCAGAGGGAGCTGGTTCCTTAGAGAAGCAACAAACGCCTTTCTCAGATAGACTGATCCGTCACTGGGTTGATGGAACTCACCCTAAAGACCCGTAAAGAAGGCAAGTGGATGGTTGCTGCTATGGACGTTTCGGGGACTGAAGCAAGTAGTGGACCTAACAAAGGGAGCGAGCACTTAGGAAAGATCCCATCGTTCTGAAATCATCTAGTCTTCTGTCTTTCTGGCCCACTAGACTACGTGCCTCCTAAGCACAAGGCCTGGAATATAGGAAGTGCTTAGTGAATTTTTGTTTCTTAACTTAAAAGACCTGGCTCTTGTAAAAAGAGGAAACAAACCCATATTTTTCAGAAGATCCTTAAAAAGAAATTTGCTGAAGATCACATGGTCTTAAAAGACCAGGAAATACTTCTCTGAAGGAGATGGTCTCATGAAGCTGGTCATACCAACGCAAGCAGCCACTGTCCCTGCTTTCCCAGGTAAAACAGAGATGACCATAAGAAGGTTCTGGATTCCCCAGAGTATAAGCCTGGCAACTTAGGATCATTTACCTTCCTCATTCCCTGGGGCCCTCAGAAAAGAGAACACAACCCACACCTTCTCTTTTTTAAGATTTTATTTATTCATTTGAGAGATCATGAGAGCTAGAGAGAGAGCACATATAGAGGAAGAGGAAGAGAGATAAGCAGGCTCCCCGCTGAGCAGGGACCCCGATGTGGGCCTCAATCCCAGGCCCCCAGGATCACAACCTGAGCCGAAGGCAGACGCCCAACCGACTGAGCCACCCAGGCGTCCCAACACAAACCTCACCGTATAAAAACTGCTCAACTCACACAGCACAGCAAGGAAGATTATGAGCACTGAGAAAAGTGTCAGGTACCAAGTATTTTGTGAAATTTCCAGACAGTTGCCAAAGAGGAAAAGCTGACACTGGTGAGAGGCACCGACCCCTGAGACATTAGCAGGCACCCTCGGCGACAGCACTTGTTGCCAGACAGATGGGGAGCCCAGCACCTTCTCCAGCAGCAGAGGAGTCATCTGGTCAAATCCGCCACAAAGACTAGTCATCCAATGACAAGTGCCTCCTGGGTAAGAGCCTCTGGTCTCCCGGGACGGTGAGCGACCCCTCTGACCGGGCTTCAGGGCTCACAGTGACCAGCATTCCCCGCCTCTCCTCACCCACACTGGTTCTCTTTTCACCACTTTTACTTTCCCTGAACCAGCTGATCCGTCTGTTGTAGCATCAACGACCCTCCTCTCAGTTCCGAAGTGCTAGACCGGACTGTATGAATCATGATCATCTAAAACCATCTTCACCAGCATTTCCAGAATTCAGAATAAATTCTTGCTTGAGCACCTATCGTGGACCAGGCTTGGGATACACCAGGGAACAAAACACAGGTCCCTGCCCTTACGGAGCTTCCATTCTGGTGACATGTTTGCAGAACTTGGGATGTTCATACGAGACTGACAAGCTTTCTTTCCCTGCTGCTCCGCCTCGGCCTTCTCAGTTAATGGCCCCACCATTCACCCAGGGACCTCTCTTCTGCCTCACCCTCCCGAGGTCCCAAATGCTGTCAGGTTCATACTTATCCCTGTGACCACACCCAGCGCTCAGAGGACCTCCAGTCCTCTGCCATGTGACCCAGCCTCTGCCATCAGACTTACCTCCACGACACCCCTTGTTCCATCTACATCCAGCTGAACCCGCCATTCATTCATTTCCATGTCCCTTGTCCTCTAGCATGTTTATCCCCCTGCCTCCCTCCTTCCCCTGGCCTGGTAAGTGCCTACTCTCTGGGGCTTGGAGGTACTAGATTATATAAGATAATCACTCACTTCACTTCTGGAGGCAACAGCCCGGTGCAGTGGGGTCAGCCACATGTTGTCCTTGGCATTGACACGAGCTCCTGGAAGCAAAAGCACAAGTTAGAGGCGTAATGCAGTCAGGGGAAATTCTACTCATGTTAAGTCAAATGGGGTATCTTGTGCTCTCATCTGCCTTGTACACCCACCCTATTTCATTTTTTTTTCTTTTGTATCAGTCATGTACTTTCTAGCCACCAGACAGAAGGAGAGACCCAGTACAGTAGAAAAATTGAAATCAGGAGCTGAAAATGGCACTAGAATTGGGAAAAGACTAGACGAGAAGTGCGATATCTCATTGGATAGGAGACACAGTGCTAAAAAGGCTGAGCTTTTCCAGGAATAGGGTCATGTAGATCCTGAAGAATGAAGAACTTTGCAGGTATGTGTGTAATGTAAATATATATGCATACATACATACAAAATATATGATTATATACAAATATAAAATTTTATCTATAAAATACATAGTCACATACATTATTTTTAGTCACTAAGTAGACTTAATCTCATGGGGCACACAATGGCCTTCTTGGCAAGCTGTCAAAGATGAGCTGCATTCCAACAAAGGTATACTAGAGGTCAGCTGGATTTTAAACCAATCTTATAAAGTTGAGTTTGATGAGACTTGATCTGGGCTAAGGGAATTCGCAGAAATCTGTTCTATCCAAGACTCTCGATGATTTCCCTGGCACAAGCCAGATATCTTGGGAGCAAGCAGCCGGCTTCCATGGAGCTTTGGACAGACGTAACATGAAGCATATGTAAGTTGCTCAGAGCAACTTCCACTTGGGGGGGGGCAGGCAGACAGGTTCACACGGGCCAGAACCAACTGGGCTGAGGGGAGGTGCGCACGGGATGCCTCTGGAACAAGGGCCAAGAAAATGAGGCCAGTGGAAGCAGGACTGATTCATCTCTGTGAGCCCAAGGACAGCTGAGAGCTGAAAAGTAGAAACTTATTTTTAAAAACTGAAAGAAAAAGGCAACAGGAGACTTTCATGGGTCAAAGTGAGCTAGAGGGGCAACTGGGTGGCTCAGTCGGTTAAGTGTCAGACTCTTGGTTTCCACCCAGGTCGTGATCTCAGGGTCTTGACATCAAGCCCTGCATTAGGCTCCACCTGGACATGGAGTCTGCTTAATACTCTCTCTCTCCCTCTTCCTCTGCCCCTCCCCCCACTCACTCTCTCAAAATTAAAAAAAAAAAAGTGAGCTCAAAATTCAGTTTAAGCCATCAGCTAAAAAATAAATACCAAATCATAGACCTTATAATATTTTTCTGTTTAACTGAAGAACAAATACCATCAACAATATCAATTCTAGAAAACAAGAACATAATACTCCCTAAAGCAAAGAAAAAATGTCTCCCCCCACCCCCGCCATTCTGATTTCATTGGTTTGAGATGAGGCCAGGCACAAATAGTTTTTAAAAGCTCCCCAAGACCCAAGGTTATTTTAATATGCTGTCAGAGTTGAAAGCCACTGAAAAATTGTTGTTTAGTTTATCAAGCTTCAAATCCTACTTCTACTAACTCCATCCAGGCAGCTCACCTAGGAGGCTCAAGCCCTTAGTCTCAATGAAATTAGGCTCAAATGAGATCAGCGTGGGGATGTTAGGAATCAAAGCAGTAGGTATCTCCCTCCCCTGGAGCAGGAAGTCCCGGGTTAACTGCTCCGGAGTGGACACCCTAAAGGGCTGGGGGCAAGTCTCCTCCCCCGGGGAAGCCTGCCTCAAGCTTCCCTTCGCTCGCCCTGTCCATTTTTAAGGAACTTCCTGTCACAAAGTAGAACCAGTCATCTGAGAGGGACAACACCTGGGCCACAGCACACTCTGGGTCTGGGCTGCCACCTACCCATCCACACGATGTCCTTCTCCCCACTCTAGTCATCCCTTCCTTCAGCACGTTTGGAGGAAGGAACATGATGTGGAGGAAGGAACAGATGCGACACCTGCTACAGGTACCAAGTCCGTTCAGACTCAGAGCCTCAAAGTCATCGCTGTCCAGTGGGAATGTGATGGGAGTCAGCGATGCGATTTTAAGTTTTCTAGTAGCCACATTAAGAAGGGGATAAAGAAAACAAGTAAAATTAATTTTAATTATATATTTTACTTAACTCAATATATCCAAAACATCATGCAATCGAGTTTAAAAGTTATTGAGGGTGGGGCGCCTGGGTGGCTCAGTGGGTTAAAGCCTCTGCCTTCGGCTCAGGTCATGATCCCAGGGTCCTGGGATGGAGCCCCGCATCGGGCTCTCTGCTCAGCAGGGAGCCTGCTTCCCCTCCTCTCTCTGCCTACTTGTGATCTCTGTCAAATAAATAAATAAAATCTTTTAAAAAAATTATTGAGGGAATTTACATTCCTTTTTTTTCATGCAGATGAAAAATGTGTATTCAAAAATTCAAAAAATTCAAGAAAAGTATGTATTCAAAATCCAATGTGCGTTTCATCCTTACAGCACATCTGCACTGAACCTGGCCACACATCACGTGCTCAGGAGCCACAGCTGGTTTGTGACTACCGTGTTCGACAGTGCAGATCCAAATGCTACGCAGTAGAGGCCAGACTTGGAGACTCATTGGCTGAGGAGCTCCCTTAAGTTCTAAAGAGCTACAGTTCAGGGCGCCTGGGTGGCTTAGCGGGTTGGGCCTCTGCCTTCAGCTCAGGTCATGATCTCAGGGTCCTGGGATCGAGCCCCGCATCGAGCCCCACATCAGGCTCTCTGCACAGTGGGGAGCCTGCTTCCTCCTCTCTCTCTCTGCCTGCCTCTCTGCCTACTTGTGAATACAGAAAAATCTTTAAAAAATAAAAAAAAAAAATAAAGAGCTACAATTCTATTATTACAGCTCAGCGACAGCTAGGAGCCTTGGTCAAAGTTGCTAACATAATCTGAGCTCTTACTCTGTACGCTAACACACGTGTAGTCCATTCAATAGGGAGATGCTATTACAATGCCAATTTTGTAGATGAAGGAACAAAGGCCATGAGAATTAACAGTCTCCAGGCAGCCAGCAGACTTGAACCCAGGCAGTCTGACTTCAATGCCCAAGCTCCTGGGCACTGTGCTTCACTCCATCACTAGCCATTCAACCAAACACTGATTAAGCTTCCCTTTCACTGTCCCCATCTTTCTCTCCATTCCTTACACTCATTCCTCTCTCCCTCTGTCCATCTCTCTCTCTTCCTCCATTTTCGTATATCTATTTTCAAATATATATGTATATATATTCCCTCTTGATTTCATTTCCTTCTTTCCCACCTTTCTCCTTTTAGCGCCAAGCACTGGTTATAATAATATGAAACAGAAATACACATTTTATTATTCATAGTCTTTAAGAGAGTAAATTTTGCATTGCATGTGCATAAACTTCAAAAACTAATGCAAGAAGAACCCCAAATGGCAAGATGCCTAGAAAAATAGACTTCTCAAAATTCAAGAAGGAGAGGCATATGAAAGCAACATTAACAAACCATTTCACACCCATCAAATTGGTGAAAATTACAAAGTAGGGCAATGCCAAGAGTTAGCAAGGGTATGGAGAAATACTAAGACTTCCAGACAGGCGGTGGAGCATGGACTGGTACAACTGTCTTCGGGAAGCAGTTTGGTTCCACCTAGGAAAATTGACAATACATGTGCCCTACTACCCAGCACCCCCAATTGTATACCCTGGACAAACTCTATAAGAATGTTCACTGCAGCATGTTCATAACAGCAAGAAACTAGAATCTTAAGTGTTGGTTGAGAGGAAAATGGATAAATACGTTGTGGTATATTCATACAATGGAATGCCCCCATCGTGGAAATGGAGGGACTGAAGTTTTACCTATACAGAAACAGATGCACTTCAAAAACACAACATGAATGAACAAATGAGGTTGCAAAGGATTACCTATGGCATAATGCCAGTTATATAAAGTTTTTAAATTTACAAAAACAATTCTATACATGGTTTGTGGATACACAGGCATGAAATAAAAATGATAAATGTGGCTAAAGAAACAGATACCAATTGTGGATAGTGGTTGTTTCTAGGGAGGGGTGGTGGGAGAAAGGCTGAAGGAATTCTGTCAAGTGGGCTCAAGTGTGTCTTCAATATTTTATTTAGGAAAAATGTATGAGAGGGCGCCTGGCTGGCTCAGTTGGTTAAGCTTCTGCCTTCAACTCAGGTCATGATCATGGAGTACCAGGATCGAGCCCCGCGGCGGGCTCCCCATTCAGTGGGAGACCCTGCCCCTTCTCATGCTCTCTCTCTCTCTCTCTCTGACTCTCTCAAATAAATAAATAAAATCTAAAAAAAAAAAAAAAAAGATACAAACATGGAAAAAATGTTAAGATTTCTTAAAGCTTGGTATACCTAGGTATTATATCATTCTCCATATTTTCTGTGTTTGAAATATTTACTATCAAACATTCTTAAGAAAGCTAGCGCATTTGAAGTGTTACGTTTCTTCATAAAAATGGGGAGGATTGAGATGCTTTTTCTTATATTATTTTTTGTTCTCAGTTAGTGGCCCTTCTCCTTGGTAAAAATAAAATGGACATTTCCCTGTATAAAGTAGCCCAGTCATAGTCTCTTCCAGGATGTTCCTAAGGCTCACCCCAGGAGAGTAAAGGATTAGGAACCAAAACTGCTGTTGGATTTCTAGATAAACTTGGTTGCACAGTCGAATTTGAAAAGAAATTTTCAGGTTAACAGTGTGTTCCTTCCTGGTCTCATTGTTCCTTCTCATGCTCTCTTCCCTCCACAATCACTGTAGCTGACCCCACAGGTAGACCCCCAGCTATAGAACAGAGGCAAGTCCGCACACCCAGAAAAGGTGGATCACGGAAGTCCATGACCACCCAAAGGTGAGAGAGCTCTAGAATCTAATGGAATCTTTTGCCATCTCTCCAAATGTCATCTTATCACCTCATTTTGAATCTAAGTATCTCAACCCAGTAGCTCCTCACCAGGCAGACCATGAGGAAACTAACGAGGGGCACAGTGCCTGTGTGTGGTACCTGCCCAGACCTGCACCCACCTGCTTTGTCCACTGTGTGTT